GTTATTATAATCAGTCAGTCTTTATGTTTTTATCTTTAAATCACAACGTTATACAGTCTTCGACATTTTTACTTATTGATAATCAACATAACAAACCCTTATTTAAGAAAAAATATTAATTGCACCTTGAAAATACTTTTCAAAAATATTGAACATGAAATTACTTATTTGAGTTGTTACCTATTATCACAAGTGGTACTTGTGATAATAGATGCAACCGAGACTGCATTCGGGAACTCCCGAATGCAGTCTCGGCAGGTTTGCCGCCTTAAATAAGGGTTTGTTATGTTGATTATCAATAAGTAAAAATGTCGAAGAATGCATAACGTTGTGATTTAAAGATAAAAAAATAAAGACTGACTGATTATAATAACGTTTTTTATTTTTTCCACTAAACATAATCCTTGCAAGGAAGTTTGGGTTTCGGCTGTAACTGAGACCGTTGCCGAAATTCGTTTTCGGTTTCGGTCGCAAAAACCAGTTTCGGTCGGACACTAGTGCAGAGTGTCGGGACGCGATCTGTCGTGACGGCGATCGGTCGATTCCCGATCGAGTCAGAACGATGATGGGGTTATGACGCGTCAGAACACTCCACATTAGTATGTTTCTAACCTGACGCGTTAACTAGCTAGAGAATAGTCGTTTGCATTTATTTGTGCACAATATGTCGGACGAACGTATTGAACTTGTAAGAAAATACAGTTTTGCATTTTTTCAATATCATTTTTTACCATACTCTACTCAAATTGATTTTTTGACATCCTGAAATATTGATGAAATCTTTCTTCATCACTAGTAAATGATATTCGATTTGACTACCTCTCAGATCATTTACTAGAAGAACCCAATATTTTCTCTTTTTCCTTTTCTTTTTAAGTAAACAATTAGCAGACACGCAAGGTTTTCTTGAATATCACTATCAGAATCGGAGGAAAGTATTGTAGATGCTAGCATGCGTTTACTCCAAAGGCACCACTGTATTGACTCGAAATAACGTCAAAACGCGCCCCGACACGACAGAATAGTCTGGACACTCGCCGTTACGTCAGAGAGCATCACAACACACCACAACATAATGTAATTCCGGCTTAAGTTTGAATTCAACTATATTCCTCCAATGACGTCACAATTATGGCGCTGAAAATTTTTGATATTTTGTAACCCTCCTATATGCTAAAAATGAGTTAATATAGTATATAGTAGAAAATATATTTTCCTTCTGGCAATACCGAGTGCGAAAATTATGACATTGACAACAACAAAAAATTGTTCATTCGTTAATAAAGTTGAATAATTTTAGATGATCAATATTTTGAGTGGTTTCTAGATATTTGGTAGGTACATAAATCTAACAAATAATTTTAACAAAATAGGTCAAATAAAGATGAGTAATCATCATAGTAATCCTAGAAATGCAGAAACTGAGCAGATGACTCAGCCACAGTGTTTGAAGGTATTTATTCAAAGAGATTACAGTGAAGGAACATTGGTGAAATTTCAGACTAGATTTCCACAAGAACTGGAAGGAAGGGTGAGTTGAAAACTCTTTTTTCCATTTGTTTTATTCCTATTCTTCATTTCAGTTAGAAAGACAAGCATTTGAAACAACAATAAACAGACTAAATGCTTATTTTGCTGAAGCTGAGAAGGCTACATGCTCTACATATTGTGAAGGATGCTTGGCCTGCCTGACTGCCTATTTAATTTACATATGCAAAGAAACACATTACGAAAAGGTAAATAATAGGGATAACGTGTATATAATGCCTATATTTGATATCCTAAATTCAGTAGTATAATTACGAATATTATAAAGAATATAATCTTTGATTACAAATTGATGAAACATAATTTAGTAGATATGTTATCTATTTGTTTGGAACCTTTGGTGTAGTAATGAATATTACTGGAGTTTTATCCAACACCAAACCGTTATTTTAACACCTCGACACATGTTTCGATTACCAAATGATCATCTTCAAGAGGAAGATTAAACTGACTGTTAACTTCCTGTTAACAGTAATGAAAGAAAACTTTTGATAATTTTTCCAACTCAGTTCCCAAAAATTTCACTCCATCTAGAGAAACTAAGTATTAATATTTTCTATTGTGGAATTTCATGAATTCTAATTTGAAGTATATAAGATGAGTTAATATGTTTACTCTAACTGGTGAACTGATGGATACTTATTTTGGATTCATAAGTGATTTTTCTAGAAAGTGCAGTGACTGATAGTGATGTCATAAGTAAATATTAATCATATGCTGTTTTCAGTTTTGATGTTTTCAAAAAGTAGATTGAAATAATTTCTGGCATTTTAATTAGCTTATTGAGAAAAAACAGTGCAACTCTTAGTGAAAAAGTTCATGAATGAAAATTAAACATTTCACAGAAAAGTTGATATTATGTTCTCTTGTTAAGTGCACAATTTTTAAATAAATTATTTTGCACTAAAATTAGTGATATATTTCATTGTCTTGATAAGTATCAGTTGTTAATGGGTTGGTTTGAACTTATTGTTTACCTACGTCATATCAAAAAACAGTTATATTCTTTGAAAGCTATTTCCAGGTTTTTTGGCTGTGGTCTGCAGGTTTTTATGCCTGATATTTTGTCTTCTACTGTGGTTGACATTTTCAAAGGTGATGTTTCATTCATTCCTTTGACTCGGTGAATAAGGAACTATTGGTAAATAAACCATATCATTCACCGTCTCTTTAAACCATTGTTCTCCTAACCCCAAAAAGTGGGCATTTATTTCTCTGTCTTCTCTTGATACCCAATATGACTTATCAGTTCAAATAACAGTAGAAATTATAAAAGAGCATCATATAAATTTATTGAGTAATGTCTCTATAAGTTGAAGGCAACGTCAAATTCTATATCTATATTCTAATCCTTATTTACATGTCAATAAGAGATCTATTTGTATCAGTGGCACACTAAAATGTTAGCGGTGAATGTTAGACCTCAAACTAGGAGTACAGAAATAAAACTCAATGGTATATTTCTTACGTAATACAAAGTCTTGCAATCCACAATTCAATATTTTTTATTTATTTGGAAGCTCCCCTGTACAGTCAATGAAGATTTATAGTTCAAAAAACAAATCTATATTATGCTTGATATAAGTATCACCAAGCACATTTTGGAAGTCAATGGTTGTTTCTAGAACCAAAAAACAGAAAGCACTGAACTGAATGTACCATTGAAAGTGCATTCGTATTGACTAGATGATATATAATAATCATTTATCATGAAAAATGAATGAAATGTATACTCAACCCATAGAGAAATGTACAACAACCAGGGTTGTTACATCCACCAACTGGGAAGTATTTTGAGCTTATTTTTCCTATAGAATAAAAAACGTTGGGGAAATATATTTTGTGATGGCAGTAATAGTTTCTGGGTCATATTATTTTGATTTTGTATCAGTGACGCTATATACTCTGGGGAAAAATTAAAATGCAATTGCCTGACGAACTCCATTTTTTTAAATGAAACCAAAAATGTCTATATATTTTGACATCCACATTTTGCAGATGTTCCACAATTTGACAAACATAATCTATCCTCCACGTGTCTTTTTCTTATCAAGTCAAGCAGGCAGAGAGGTCTCTGCTCCTTTCAAAAAAACATCAAATTGAAAGAAAATTTACCTTCTAACAAATTTTTTTGAAATCACTAAATTACTACACTGCCTAAAGTGGGTATTTACCTATGCAGGTTTTATAACATCAATACCCAAGCATTACACAAGCATTTACATTGAGTTTAGTAACATCGTTTATGACAACATAAACGTTGTCATTATATTCTTTCCCATTCATTATACCACTTTTCAAATATGATTCGAGGGGAATTTATATAGACAAATTCAGAACTGTCAACAGACAGATTATACAGCATAATCATAATTTATTAGCAAAAAAAAGCGCCTTAATTTTCCCCAACTGGTGTCACTAAATTGGGTATATGACAAGAAAGCAAAAACTCAACATACATTACAATTTGTCACATTTTGAATTGCTCCAGAGGTATCACAGATACATAGATCACCAAATTTTAATAAATTTCGTGACATATTACATACACTCATACCATACTACCATGTCATACCATACCATACTTTCATAATATGAATGACGTATGTTAAAAAGTATTTTACAGTTAAGGTCTAATCTTCATTTTTAATTGAACTTCGCTCCTGACTGACTTGATGAATTCTTAGGGTGTTATTAAACTGAGTGGCTCTTCAAGATTTTTTTGTCGATACTATTGTAGTTTGTATTCAAGATTTCAATGGTTATAATAAATTTTTAAGTTGGTTTTTAATATCAAATATAAATGTTGTATAAATGTCATTTCCCCGCTTAACTATGCTAACTCATAGTACTCACACAGTATCATTCAGACCCAAAGTTCTACTCATAATTTACATTAGATGTGTTTTCAAGAATTGCTCTTTCACAAATAATTTAATGTTAAACTCCTTCGTCTATTTACTGATGACAGGAGTTTACCACAAAATACAGAATCCTCTTGCTCATATTCAAGAGCACAAACATTCAAAGTATTTTTCTTGTTATGAGACATATTGTAGTAAGAAATGGCTAGGTCATTTTTTTCTATAAATTTTCTCAATTTTTCAACTAATTCTTCCAATAAAAACTGATGATCAATATGAGTTTAGGTCCAATAGATCTACTGTGGCTGCCATTGATGAGTTATCAGACAATGTATTGGACAACTGGTAGCAAGTACTTTTTACATATGATTCTCTATTTGACCTGACAAAAACTTATAATTGTGTCTCAACTGACATATTACTGAAAAACTTAAGTTTTACAACTTTCATTCTGATTGTATAGCCTTTCTCAGGTCATACCTAACAGAGCGCTCTCAGTATGATATATATGATGGTGTCTCTTCAGATGGTATGCAGTTGCATCATGGAATTCCACATGGCTAAATTTTGTGGCCTCTACTCTTCTTGATCTAGATACATGACTTGAAAGTCAATGTAGCTGGCTCAAAACTTACACTATTTGCTGATGACACCACTCATTTGCAAGTATATCACTCATCAGAAGCAATTCAAGAAATTGTGGTCGAGGGGCAGAAATGGTTTTTAGCAGAAAAAACTTTCTCTCAACCAAACCAACACCCAAAATATCAAATTTTTTCTCAGACCTCTGCATCCAGCTCTGCAAAGAAGTGATGGCATAATTATTGATGAAGGTATAACATGAGAAAGAAACATAATTCAAATATCATCTAAGCTCTCGAAAATTACGTATATGATAAAATCACTTCTTAAAACTGTATCTAAAGAAACTATAATGTCAGCTTATTATGGTTATTTTCATTCAAACATGACATATGCTGTGCTGAGTTGGGATCACTCTTCCCATTGGGAAAAATTTTTAGGCTTCAAAGGAGATACATCCTTATTATTATGAATCTCAAATATCGCCAGTGCTGCAGATATTGTTTTGCTGAGCTTAAAACACTAACATTTCCAATTTTTTTCAATGGTAACCTAGATTTTCGATTCGTTTTTGGGATTCTGCATTAAATTCTGAATTCAGCCATATAGCACACTTGTAGTTTTCCTTGAATACTGATGAAAAAGACAATTTTATTGCATATTATAAAGAGGGCCATAAATAAGTCAAAATGAATGCAATAATACGAATTTAATAAAATGAATCCATCAGTTATGATTTCATTGTCTGTTCAATTTTATCTAGTTGCGTATTTCTGTACAAATTAAAATGTTACTTTGACCATAACTCGACTAACATGATGATGATAACGAAATCAATTAGTAATAAAAAGAATCATTTTGGTAAGTGTTCGAACTGCCTCCCTTCACGTAGAATACACATATTGCATCTTTTTAGTAATTCCCGATTCGTGACAGCTAAAAGCGTCTCTCGCGTTATGGAAGTACAAACATTTGTGATACTATTTTTCAAATCCTCTACATTTTGTGGACGTCGCATATAAACTAAGTCTTTGATATATCCCCACAAAAAGAAATCTAGTGGAGTAATATCTGGACTTCGAGCTGGCCATGGTATTGGACCCTTATTTCCAATACATTTTTCATTAAAAGTATCATCCAAATATTGGGTAACTATTCTATTATCATGTGGATGTGCCCCATCTTGTTGAAACCACATATTCAGTCGAGTTTGTATTGGTAAATTCTCAAAGAGATTTGGCAACACATGTTGTAGAAAAACCAAGTACCTCTCCCCATTGAGAATTCCTTCGAAAAAATTAGGTCCCATCAAATAACCATCAATGATTCCGCATCAAACATTTACCCTCCACACAGACTGAAATCTCGTTTCTTGCACCCAATGAGGGTTCACGTCAGACCAATAGTGACAATTATGTTTGTTTATTATACCGTTGTTATGGAAACGGCTTTCATCACTCCATAATATTTTTTTCAGAAACTGATCTTCATCATGAATACAGGTGGACAACCATGCAATGGTTGCACCTAGGAACGTAGCAAAGTCCATCGAAAAAATAGGTGAATTTGATTTTTCGGGGGAAAGCAACACAAACTCTATTGCTTTGATGCCATTTACTGAAGATGAAATGTTACATATTGTATCAAAATTGAAAAATAAAATGTCTACAGGTCCAGATGAAATTCCCTCTGTTTTAATAAAGGAATTTGGTAAAGATATAGTAGGTATTCTAACCCATTTAGTAAACCATTCATTTGCATCGGGCATATTTCCAAACTGTCTTAAATCAGCAAAGTGCATCCAGTGCATAAAAAAACGAAAAAACTAACATTAATAATTACAGACCAGACAGACTAACTCCCTTCATCAATAAATACAGACTCATACAAGACCAGCAGCACGGTTTTCGGAAGGGAAAATCCACAACAACTGCAACAGTTGACTTTTATAATAATGTATTGTCCGAGATCGACAAAAGAAACTCCCCTGTTGGAATTTTTTTGCGACTTAAGTAGGGCCTTTGACTGTATTCCTCATAAGGCACTGCTACAAAAACTTTGGCTTTGTGGCATACGAGGAATTGAATCATATCTTTCTGATAGAAGTCAGTTTGTCCAAATTTGTTTCAAAGAAGTTGACGGATCTATTAGTAAGCACTGCTCAGATGCCTCGCAACTGGAGCTGGGAGTGCCACAGGGAAGTGTTTTGGCCCCAATACTATTTTCTTTATTCATTGCTGACATAGTGGAATTTTTACCTGAGTATAACTTCACGCTGTATGCTGATGACTCATCTTTTATTGTATCCCAGGAAAGCAGTGAAATGACCGAACAAGCTTGTAACCATCTTCTTGGTAAACTAGGACTATGGTTTTCAGCTAATCAACTACATTTCAATACAGGAAAAACTGAGTATCTAATCTTTCACACCGGACAAAGACTAATAAACAATCAACTCTCGATCAAACTGAATGACTTAAATATTAACAGAAAATCAACAACAAAATTCTTGGGAATAACCCTAGAGGACGATCTCAGCTGGAATGAGCATATTGCAGCAACTATAAATAAATTAAATACAAAAATATATCAAATTCGATGTATGCGGAATGTGGTTGATATCGGAAGTCTGAGAAATTTCTACTTTGCTGAAATCCAGTCTATTCTACTATGGGGAAACTCTCCAGCTGCACAGCATCTATTTCTTATTCAGAAAAAAGCAGTAAGAACTATAAAAAATGTATCACCCAGGAATTCCTGGAAACCATTGTTTGCCGAATTGAATATTCTTCCTCTGGCCTGTCTTTATATTATGGAAGTTGCCTGCTACATCCATAAAATAAAAAACACTCTTCCCAGGCATTCGGACATACATGTCTACCAAACCAGAAACAATCAGCTAATCTATCCAAATCATAGCAATCTCCAAGTAACATCAAATGGACCACTCTCAACAGGTGTGAGAATTTACAATAAATTATCCACTGGCATTAAAACTCAGCCTACACACTTCAAATTTCGAAACTTCCTAAAACGCTTTCTGCAAGAAAATTTATTTTATAGCATTCATGAATTTTTATTGTAACTTTTTGAGCAAATAACTTATATCGCTGTTCCTTTTGTTGTCTTGTAGTCTTTACTATATTTATATACATGCACTAAGACATTGTATCCTGACATGTTCTATACCCTAATGGGTCCTTTGAGTGAATAAACTGATTTGATTTTGATTTGATTTGATGAAGTTCAATCTTCTATCAGCATCTGAATTTGAGAATATATTTTAGTTATTAAAAATGAAACATGAAGATTATTACCTGGATGTAGGTCCTTGAACCAAATGTATTTTGTATGGATGGAATTTGTTTTTTGACAAAATATGTTGTATTGACGATTTCGAAATGTTACAATGCATTGCTACTTGTCTGGTAGAACTATATGGTTCCAACACCATTTGACCTAGCACTGCAACACTGTGATTCTCATCAGTAGCNGCTTACTAACACGTTGTTGAAATTCTCCGTGTGTTTGTGGATCTCTATTGCCTCCCGTACCAGTCGGCTATAGTATCCCTGGTTGGGGGCAATTAGTTCTTGTTTTCAAACAAAATTATGTGGTCTCCTTCACTAAGTGCGTGTTCTGCCACAGCTGACTTGTCCGCTTGGCCTAGTCTACAGTTCCTTTTATGCTCTTTCAGTCTTTCCCATGGATCGTTGGGTGGTTCCGATATACACCTTCCCACAAGTGCACGGTATGCGATAGACTCCTGCTGCTGATAATGGGTCTCTTTTGTCTTTAGCCGACCTGAGGCTTTGTTGTATCTTCCTCGTGGGTTTGAAGACTGTGTTGATGTCGTGTTTATCCAATAGTAGGCGTCTAAAGACAAAAGAGGCCAATTATCAGCAGCAGGACTCTATCGCATACTGTGCACTTGTGGGAAGGTGTATATCAGAACCACCAAACGATCAATGGAAACAAGACTGAAAGAGCACGAAAAGAACTGCAGACTAGGCCAAGCGGACAAGTCAGCTGTGGCAGAACACACGCTTAGTGAAGGAGACCACATAATTTTGTTTAAAAACACAGAACTAGTTGCCCCCAACCAGGGATACTATAGTCGACTGGTACGGGAGGCAATAGAGATCCACAAACACACGGAGAATTTCAACAGAAAAGAAGAAGCGGTGAACCTCAATCGAATAATATGGAACCCCTTTTTAAGGAATTCGAGAATAACGAACAGAACGACAACAGGCAGCAAGAGTATTAATGTTCCAGGTTCAAGTACAGATACAAGTTCAGGTACAAGTACTTGGTACAAATACAGGTACCAATACAAATGATTACCTGACAAGGCATAAATACGCTTTAAGAAGCCAAAAAGTTAGTCATCGGACAGCAAGTCATGATGGTTAAACCTCTGAAGAAGCCAGCGAAACGTCAGGAAGAAATTCCAAAAATCCACGGGTTTCAAACTCGAAAAAAGTGACACTGAAATTGTAGTTTTACTTATTTTATTTATCAAACCGTAATTTTATAAATTTATGACAAAAAGTACCAACATTTTAATGTGTATACTGTTTCCTTCTTGACTTGTAAATCACGATGTGTATTATTACCAATAAAATTGATTGATTGACATAGTTTTTAATAATGAATATTTGACATTTTCAGTGTCTCAAGAAAGTCTCGAAATTCATAGCTGAACAAAACGAGAGAGTATACGAACCTAGAGGATTGAAGTTGACAGATCCAAGTACAAGAGGCCTCAGGGTACTAGAAATAAGCTGTCTTGACCGTCCTCCGAATGCATGACTTACATTGTCTCACTCCACACAGGAGTTTTTCATGTGAAACTTAAGTGTTTAATTGTCAATGACTCTGAGTCTGGACAGATACTTTGTTCGTCACCGTCCCCGCTTCCAACATTATTTCTTCTTTTTCGTCTGACGATAGTTCTAAACTCCTGTTCATGTTTTCATTCTGGTTTTGTTAAGTTAATGATTTCATTCAATTTTCGTTCTGTTCGAATTTTCAGTATTTCGGATGCAACCTGATTTGCTTCAATTTTTGCCTCACCCTGTACTACGTAAATCGCCGTTGACCCTGATTGTGAGTTTGTATTTATTTCATTTGGTCCCATATGTTGTTTTTGTTCGGATGACGTTTTTTCAATTGGTTTTTTCTTCGTGTTTTGCTCCAGATTTTTTGTTGGGCCAGATTGAATGAATGGTTTGATTGTGTTTGTATTGAAACAATTTTTCCTCAAGATATGCAATTTTCTCGTTCAACAATCCAATTACACATTCTTTGTAACTTATGATAATGTCTTTATCCTGTATAATTTGCCTAAGCAGCTTATTTTCCATTTTTTCCAAAATATCTCGATTGAAGACAAAATGTGAATAACCAAGAAAAGTACTTGAGATAAAAATAAATGTGTAAACGCAAGCAAGACATAAGTGGGACCACCTATTGGTGTGACACCCAAGTCAACTCACCAAGTTTTTATGTCAAACCAATAACTTTTATCAACTATGTCCTATACCTATCTCTGACCATTTATGAGATGTTAATTCTTCTATAATTTTTTTTCTTCTATACAAATATAACATTTCAAATACAAAATTCAGTGAAAAATGTATTATTGAACACATCGAATGAATAATAAATTTATATCAGTTCAAAAAGGTTTATTGGAATATATGAATGAAATTTCATAGTGGGTATATGACAAACATTACTTTTTTGACAGAAGAACGAACATTTTTCAAAATTAAATAGATAACAAAAAGAGTTCTACACTAAAAAAGATGATATTGTGAAACTAGTTTCGCAATTATTTGACATTTGATACTGACATGCGGATTTCTGATGTGTCGATTTCCTCGAAGGCACATCTAACCCGATCTTTCAGTTCCTATTTCGTATTGATAGGTGTTCCATATACTTTTTATTTAATGTTTCCCCAGAGGTAAAAATCTAGGGCGGTCAAATCCGGTGATCGAGGCGGCCAAATCAAAGGACTCAAACGTATCCACAGATCTTCGAACATATCGGTTAGTTCCCTACTCAATGTGTGCAATATCCAGGAGCTCCATCCAATTGATACCAACAATTCCGAGACGACTTCAGGGGCAAATTGTCCAGAAAATCACTCACAGTTGATCTCGGAATATTTAAATATTTTTCGTAATTCAACTTTTCTTCATAAATGCAAATGGAAACTTTATCATCCATGAGCATAGAAAAAACATCAAAACTGAATTTTTGTTGGGATCCCCTCTGTTTAATGAAATTGGGATTTTCTGAAGCCCAGAAGTGATTATTTCGACCAATAAATATTTCCTCACATGAAAATTGTAATTCATCAGTCCATATATTTTTTTTCGCAAAATTCTACCCGCTTAATGAATTTATAATCGGGCATATTATGTTTGATAAATACCCTAATG